TGGTTGTGTAATTATGTAATTCCATATTGTCCTGCTATTTTTATTTTGGGTAAGAACAAAACCACTGAGGGTCAAATTGTATGTTCCAAGGAAACAGCATTGGGAATCAACAGCTATGGATGATAGTTTTCCTGGAATCTGTCATTCAGCAGCTGACTAAGATTAGGTACCCTGTTGACCTCACTTTCTATATTTGTACATGAAAAATTTATGCAAAACTAACACTGACTGAGTGTCTGCTCTTATCAGTCTTCACAATAGTACTACCCTTTTTATAGGCAAAGAAACTAAATCTTAGAAAGTTATGCAACTTACCCAAGGACACAATGCTAATGAAGGATTAATGCTGAGATTACAAACTTTTTTGTTGTTGTGGTTGCTGCTACTACTGAAAGATCTGTCAAGAGGAGGAAAAGTTTATTTTGGCTCATGATTTCAGAGGTTCTGTCCATGGTGAGCTGACCCTGTAGCTCTGGTCCCAGAGATGAGGCAGATGAGGCAGATGAGGCAGAACCTCATGGAGGAAGCCTTTGGAGGTGGAAGGCAGCTCAGTACGTGGTAACAGAGAGAGTTCTACTCACCAAGAACAAACCATACCTACCTACAGTTTCCCAGTTAATCTGTATTAATGGATGAATCTGTGGAGGTACTCTAATCATTTTACCTCTGAAAATTCTTTCATTGTCTCATATCTTAGGGGACATCACATCTGTAAACCATAATACAAACCATCTAGATATAAAGTCTGTGTGTTTTAGTCCATGAATTTATAATTCTCTGAATTACTTATATTATACATGAAGAGTTTCTGTCCTGACCATCTCTCTCTGCTTTTTTATACAGCCCCCATTTTAATGTTTGAAAATTTTTCTGAAAATCTAAAACTGATTTTAACTGATCCCATTTTTGATAATTGTTTCTTAACAAATTTCTCTAAATTTTGAGTTTTCTGTATTTCATGACAGATTTTAAGATAAATGAACTGCATACATTCTTTCAGACTGGCTGTAGTCTATTCCTATCCACATATAATTGTTAAAATTATTAAAAAACAGTGTCCCCATACCTCTCAATATTAAGAAACTCTTCACCATCACATTTTACACTTGGTTTCTAATCTATATTATATACTTCCAGGTGTTTATCAGATTTCATCAGAAGTCTCTCTGTCCATGGATTTCTTTATAGAAATAAAATATCTAAAATAAAACTGTACCTTATGAGTCATTTCCTGCTAATGTGCCTTATTCTTTTTGTTAACCATATAAATTTGTAGTGTCTTTGTTTATCACCTAAACCAATGATAGTTTATCCCTTTCAAAATATAATTCCATTACTATCTTACATTTTCTTTTAGATTTTGAGTTTCAACTATGTAAAAACGTATTCATGCTTAGAGATTTCTTTTGTAGTAGAAATAAAGTTAAAATACTGGAAGGTCAAGTCAGCTACAATCAAAAGCAGCTGCAATGCTTTAGTAAGATATACATTAATTTCCCCAGAGATTAAAAATGCCTAATAGTTATAAATAAAGTAGTTAGTTCCTTTAGAATCAGGGAAATAATAAAAAACCATTTTAATTATTTTAAAAAATTCAGCCTTCAGCATTCTCATTTTATTACTTCCAATGACTTAGCTTCCTTTGGGAGGTAATATCCTAGGCAAATCTTATGGAAACTACATCTGGGCTTCATCTTGTTCCTCCATAGTTTGTATCCAAGGATTATGGAATTTATAAATTGACCTTGACATAATTTGATAAAATTAGCATATTATGATTAACCTTTTCTTTGTTCTACAGGTTTGACATCTGTCTTATAAACCTTTACAAGTCATCCTTGGTCTTAGAAGTGGGGAAGGTGGGGTAGGAATGGAGTGAGGTAAAATATGCTCACCTGTAGCATAAAACTGAAATTGTATTATTAGGTTCTGTGTATGCTAAACCAAAGAGTTAGACTCAACATTAGCTCCCCAACTTTATATTCATCTGACAGTACTGGAATACAACAATTGATAATTTTTATTCATTAAAATAAATAAAACTTGATGTGAAAATATTACTTGAAAGAAAGGTTTAGACTTTTTGCATCAATAGTACATAATGGTAAAATTTTCTAATAGTTGAGTTGTCACATTTTAAGTTTTTTTTAAGTTTTTTTTTTTTTAGTTGTAGATGAACACAATACTTTCATTTTGTTTGTTTATTTTTATGTGGTGCTGAGAATCAAACCCAGTGCCTCACACGTGCCAGGCAAGCACTGTACAGCTGAGCCACAACCCCAGCCCTGACACATTTTAGTTTTTAAAAATTGATTTATTAAAAATGTTGAACAACAATGTATAACTATAAGCTCTTTCAGAGAAATTAAAGTATTTCTAGGTTTAGAAGATCTGAAACCCAAATATGTTCTCTTCTCCAGAAGAAATGATTATCAGCTTAGTATACATCCTCTAGACCTTTGTTTACACACACACACACACACACACACACACACACTCACACACACACACAATGTATAGTGTAATTTTATGTATATTTTACATAAATAGTATCATAGTATATATTGTTGATTATCTTTCAAGAAAGTTTTTCAAGTGTTTCCCATCTAACAACTCTAGTTAAAAATAGTTCCATGCTACCATTTCTATTTCAAGCAAACTGTGAAAAAAAATGACATTTTTTCTTGACCTTTGTTATTTTGCTGATTATCTCCCTCATCCTTCTTCATTTTCCAATCCTTCCTCTTTTCCATACACACTGAGTGCCTTTTCTATCCTTCTTCACTTTAAATTTAAAACAACTTGCATTAATCCTTGGCACTTCTAATAACCAGTGAGACAGTGGCGAACATATTTTGAGGAACATGAGGCCTCTTCTGTGTCCTTGAGTTACACTTATTAAAGGGTTCCTGCTCAATCTGTGAGGCCATGAAGCCAGCTCTGCCAAGGAATATTGTGAAAGCAAAAAGTGTAGGTTTATGATATACCTTACATTTGATTATGAAATAGCTTCTCTGAGTTCTAATGTATAAATTGAAATTATGGGCTTCTCTGTTGAGCCAGGAGCAAAGTTAAGCAAGAGTTAAGAGTTCTCCACTTTTCCAGGTGAAAAAGAGACAGGTTATTTACTCTGAAAACATATACAAAATCATGCACTATTAGTGCTGCTGTTATGTGGTGGCTATAATACAGATACAGAGCCCACAGGCTCTAAAACTATCAGAAACTGCTGCAGGATGGAAGAGACCACTGTATCACACAGCACATCCACAACCTAGAGAAGAAACTGCTGGGTCCCTTCCAGGTTTTGGGCTCCTCTGTGGTCATTTTGGATTCCAGCATGAAACATTTGACAGCTAGCAACATGGACCTTTGTAGTTTTTAGATTCATCATCCTGATGCTGCTTTCTGACTTAAAGAATATATATGTACTTATTAAGAACCAGGCATGATGGTAGCCATTTTGTATACTTTGTGCTTCATAATCCTGTCAAATTTAATTAAGTAAATATTAGAATACTCATTCTATAGGTGAGGCAATTGAAGTTTAGTGCTGCCTAAAGTGGTTGTTTCATAATTGATACTAAGATGGACTTAACTCCAAAAGTCCATATATTCCACTACACCCTGCAGCTCTTTTTCATGACTATGTGTCTAATCAATATTGCATAGGTTATTTTATAAGCAGTTTTATATAGTATTGTGGATTTTCAGTCTTAGTATCATTGTTTTGAAAGTTTAAAACACAAGCCATAGAGTGTTCATAATTAGGTATACTTTGCAAACACAATTTGCCATTTTAGAAATTCTGCCAGTCAAAACTCACTTAAACACTTGTAGATAGAAATTTTCTTTTCATTGAATTATCTGCTAGCTAACATGACCAATATCAATAAGTACTTGAATAATAAAATCTGTTCACTGATTAAACTTGTTTCTCACTCTCAAATTTTAAAGTAGTAAAAATCCTGAGTTCTTTGAGGGATTGCATGAAGCATTTTTATGGGTAAAAACACACTATCAAAGGTTGTTTATTTGTTTAATATATAATATATTCTCATGGTTTGGCTTTATAGTATTTTTATTTTTGCAAAATTAATTGTTATTACCTCAAGTAATTTTCCTATTAAGATATTTGTATGAGATGACATTTGTGTATATCTTTTATATTGCATTAAATGAAAACACAGGGATCCCAGAATGACCTGTTTTTGTGTTTATATTCTTAATCAATGTACTGATACTTGAATTCATTGAAGCAAAATTTGTTATTAAGAGATAAGATTAACTATGATATTTTATATCTTGTTCCAATTCTAAGCATTTTGTTACAGGAATTTAACAAGCATCTTAATTACATTATACATATTTATGTTTAGAAAACTAAATAAATAAAAATTCAGGAGAGTTTATTTGAAAATTAAGTCTTTTGAATTTTGACTGCTGAATAACATTTAAGCATGTACACCATGTGAGATACTTAGGTTATTTAATGTGATTCATATTATTCATAGTGGAGCCACATTAGTGATTTGGGGGAATTCTATTTTAACCATTGTGGGAGATATACCATTTAGATTTCAAGACTTTATTTATGTGCTTGATTTATCTGCCAGAACTATCCTGTGGGTATTTGTGAAGTGGTTTAGGGTTAGCAGTTGATATGTACTTGTGGCTGATATTTCAGAAATATAGATAATTTCTGTGTGTATGAATTTCTTGGGTTAAAAGAATTATCAAAGCAATGTTATAAGCTGATTAGCCTACTCAGTGATTCAAATTTATAGAATTAAGTCACTGGCAGTATCATTAAATCTATTATCACTTTCATAGTTGTTTTACATGTTTCTCTTATTTATCCACTTGACTGCTAGATAATTGTCATTTATTTATATAATTTCACCCATAAATGTTGTTCTAATGGATGAGGCATTTTCAAAATAGGACAAATTCTTTTATGTCTAAAAACTTAACAATGACATTTTCATTATGTTTTATAGAGCATCAGAGCATCGGGCCTTATCCTGTTGGAAACAATCCTTTTTGGGTCTCTGCTTCTATACTTTCCAGTAAGTAACAATTATATTTTAAAAGTAGCCATTTTTATTCTTGTACTGGTATTTTATGTATGTGTATTAGTCAGCTTTTCATTGTGGTGACCAAAACACCTAATAAGAATGACTTATAGGAAGAAAAAATTACTTGAAGCTCATGATTTCAGAAGTCTTAGTCCATGGTCAGCTGATTCCATTACTCTGGACCCAAGATGAGGCAGAATCTCAGGAGGGAAGAACATGGCAGAGGAAAGCTGTTCAATCATGGCAGCTTGGAGGCAGAAGCATGAGCTAGGAAGAGATATGGTTCAAGGGCTAGTGACCTGCTTTCTACATCCATGCCCTACTTACCTACAGTCACAACTCAGTAGTGGTTTTTATGAATTAATAATGTACTCAGTAGTACATTATTAATTCATAAAATGGATTAACCCACTGATGAAGTTACAGCTCTCATATTCCAGTCTTTTTACTCCTGAACATTGCTGTAGTGCCTAACATGAGCTCTTTGGTGAATAATTTTAGATTCAAATTGTAACAATGTGTGTTCACACATGCACACACATACAAATATATATGTATATTGTTTATGTATAAATGTGCATGTATTATACATAAATATCTACAAATATATAATATATAATGCATACATTATACAAAAATACATATTTTTGTGCATGTCCACACACATATATACATATTTATATACACATATGCTGTAAATCCCTTATTTATATGCACATACCCATATGTATTACTAAGAGCTTCACAGTTATTTACATCCTGACTTAACATTTGGGTGACCTTAGACAAGTCACTTATCATTTATAAAGCTTAATTTCCTCTCCTAAAATGGAACTACTTATACTTTTATCCCATGTTTGTGAGGAAAATTAAATGTTTAAGTAAGATAATATATGAAAGGCATATTTTGTATAAGTAAGACTTAATATATACCATAAGTTCCAGGCATGATGGTGCATGCCTGTAATCCCAGCAGCTTGGAAGACTGAGGTAGGAGGATCAGGAGTTCAAAGCCAGCTTTAAGGCCCTAAGCAACTTAGTGAGACCCTGTCTCTAAATAAAATACAAAAAAGGGCTGGGGATGTCTCTCAGTGGTTGAGTGCCCCTCCGTTCTACCCCTGGTACCAAAAAAGAAACCACTCCTCCTAACATACACACACACACACACACACACACACACACACACACACACACTCTCACACACTAAGTATTAATTTCCTTCTTCCTCCCCCTTTTACCTAAATCAACACTTTAAAACACACCAACTAGTTAATGCTAGAAAATTCCCTATGGAAAAACAAATATAAAAATTTAATGAACATAATGAAATAAATGTGTGTTAATAGTGCTTTAGGTATCATAGTAGACTAATTTTATCACAGCAGTACCTTGTTTACAATCATAAGGTAAGTACTGATTTTACTAATTCAGTTCAACCAACTTGTGTTCAGCAGTTACTGTTTGCTAAGCACTGTGATAATTTCTGGGAATATTCTTTGAGCAAGATAAACTTGATTTCTTCTTTCAAAAAGCTTACAATTTACAGGCAGAAATGAGTCAGTACAATTATAATACAATGTGACAAATTTTAAGAGTCATAGCTGAATTCTGCAGAGGCACTTAGGAAAGACATCTAACCAAGTCTAGGAATTAAGACATCAGTTGAGGGTCAGAGATCTGAAAGAAGAGTAGGTATTGAGGAGATGATAAGGCTGCCAGGACATCACGATCTTCTTCCACTTACTTCACTTGCTCCTCCATGTTGGCCTTCTTTGTTGATTATTATCTTCTTTCCTAGTTCAATACTTGAGTGCCTTAGGACTCTATCCTTATAGTTTTATTAATTTTCTTTCATTTGATAATCTTATCTAACTTCAGAAAACAGGGAAGGAGGCTTACCAAACAAATTCTCCTTTTAGGAACATTAGGATATTTTATCCTGCTGACTTCATGTTTAATTAGCTACATATTTCATCTTTTCCAAAATAAACTCTTTTTGTAACTTCTTAAGATACTAATGGATAGCTTCCAAGTGTATACTAATATCCTTGTTTATAATTAAGTTAGTATTCATGCTCTGAAGACAGAAGGGATCAAATTATTTAAGAAAGATTTGGATATAGCATAAAATATGGGTCAAGGAGATGAGAGATTAAATGTAGTATTGATTGAATTTGAAAAGGAGAATGATTTTATTTTACATGAGATATTGGGAATGCTGTTTTGGTAATGAAGTCTTCGGCTACATGCATGGGTATACTTATAGAAAGCATTGTTGACAAGACTAATCTGGTCATTGGATCAGGATACACTATCTTCTCTGGATTTGCAGAAAAGAAGTTCACACCTTGTGGCTAGAGTGTTGCTGTGAGAAAGAGTATTTAATTAAATGTGGAGGGTGATCAAGTAAACCAAATACAAGTTGAGTATCCCTGTTTCAGATTTCAGAGATTTTGATCTTGGAATATTTGGATAGACTTTACCAGTTTAACATCTATAATCTGGAAATACAAAACCTAAAATGCTCTGAAATCCAAAATTAATTTCAAAACATTTCAGATTTCAGATTTTTGGATTAGAGTTGCTCAACCTGAATCACCAAAAGGCCTAATCTTTTGGTCATATAAATGTGACCAATATCTTTTTTGTTAAAAAATTTTATTGATTTTCTGAGTTCCTATTGTGGATAATCACAGAAATTTTCATAAAGGTCTTACTGAGGGGATTACAGTTTTTTTTAAAATAAAGCATAATTGAGTAAAATAGATTTTTTATTTAGGGCTGGGTAACTCCATGGAAGGAGGCTTGGAGGATGTTCACTGTTCCACTGTTATGCAATGAACTATTTATTCTTTTTATGCTGCATATTGTTGTTCAGATTTGCAAGAATTAAGGTTATTTTTGCCTTTTCTAAGCAATCTTAGACTACAGACGATTTCATAACAGTTCTTATATTGGAAAGTCCAAATTAGAGATTATCATCATTGTGTAGATGAGGACAAACCAAAATCTGACTAAATTTAGCATTGTTATAATTGGTAGCAGAAAGCTGAAGCATTTGAAATGTTTTCTTACAGATTCTCCAAAGAGTCTCATGATTCACAGTCCACAAATTTATGGACTAGTGGTTAATATTCACAATCACCTAAAAACTTCTGCATAATTTATAAAAAAAAGAAAAAAGAACTTTAAAAAGTGTATGTTTTTAATAAAATTATATAAAAGACTTTTTATGAATTAATGAAACAATTATCAACAATTATCGGTATCATAATTATTGGCAGCATTGCCTATTTGGTTGATTGATGTGCTTATCTATAAAGGACATCAGTAACTCACAATGGAAGCAAATTTATCTTAGAACTGAATGGCAACAATACTAGATTGCTCCCCAACTGAGGCACTATTAAAAAAAAAAAACCATGCAAAATATTAGAACTAGAAGGGACATACAACACAGTGGTCTTTTTTCAACCTCTGTATTTTGCAAATGAAAGAAGAGAGGCTAAAGGAAGTTACCATCCATCCAACTTTTCTCAGTTAGGTAATGAGAGAGCCAAGAATAGAATCTAGTCTCTTAATTCCTGATCTACCTCTGTCTTCACTGTGGTCATACCTTGCACAGAGAATATTGATTCAAATGGCATCAAACAGAGAACCAGGAAGCCCTATGTTTTGCCCCGTGGTGGGTCACCATTGCCCATGAGGTCTCCAAGGAAATGAGAAGTACAGGGGACAAAGCAGGGGAATTTATAATAACTCAAAGTAGCCCTAAGACCCGATGTAAAATTCATATAAGCTTGGATGAACCATGTTGTTGAACTATCTGAAGTTTTCAATGTTCAACTATTTTACCTGTAAAAATTGTTTCAACCTATTATCAACTTGGTTTCAGGAGCATGAAACTTAGTCAAGATACCATATTTTTTCTATGATGACCCCAAAGCCTAAAACTAAAACTTGGATTTTTAAAAAAACTCCAGTATAGAGAAAGCCCATCCAGAGGAGAATATATCATCCAGATGCAAAGGAAAAATGTGAGGATATTGTTCCCAGACACAGAGCTTAGAAAAGAAAGGACAGGAAACTGATAGCTCATAAGGAGAACAAGATAATGAGACCATGATAATGTAGTTAAATTAGAACATATTTAACAGCTAAATGTTTAATCCATTCCTATTATTGTTTGTTTTGATATTTAAATTATCCAAATTTGGCCAATGATAGCCCATTTAAACTGAATCCTGAATCTTTTTCATATGATCCCACCATTCTTTGAGCATTTTCCCACCTCCTAGTGCAATGAGATTTCCAGACTCATTTTATCCTTTCCTTCTCCCAGTCTTAGAGTCAGCCTTTTCTCCATGAAGCCCTGTTTCTTGTTAAAGAAAAATGGTAGCCATTCTGTTCTGAGATTGATGATCATAGAGTAGGAAGTTCCTACTTTTATAGGTAGGTTTTTAAGCTGATGTAGAATACATCTAGCTTGGTGCCTTTTAGCAGTGTTTAGATCAATGCTGAGCAAAACAAAAAAAGAAATTGGAAAGTTAAATAACTTAATGAGTATAACAATGCTGTTGTGAACACAATTGTATGAGATAGTTGTTTTCTGACAAGATAGTGTGAAAAGTGTCAGAATAAGAGAGTCTTAATTCCCAAATTGCTAGAGAAGTTCAGCAATACTAGATAAAACATTGGAAACAGAGTACATCCGAGATCCAGTCCACCTCCTTCAAGTGAGTTTGAAGAGTGTGAATTTAAGACACTTTATGGTTATTGTTTATCTTTGTCCTTTTTCTATCTTGTTTCGTGTTTTTTCCTCAAGTCTTTATTCCATGACGTTTAGAGTATTTTCAGTTGTGTTAATTCTGCTTGAGTTGATTCTGATATTCTTAAAATATTATTAATGTTTTTATTTATTTTCATTTTCTCTTCTTGGTACAATTTTTTCTCTTTCTCTTTTTCTAATCTTATCTTTATTCCTTTTTTCT